TCAAATTATTGTTGCTTTTCCACAATAAGTTTTTCATTAAAAACGGCCTCAAGCTCAATAAAAATTGTTGAATATAATTGTTATAATGCCATAAAATAATAAAAACAAATATCCAATTAACTTTAAAAAGTGTTTGCATTCCGAGCAAAGCTCGGCCAACCTGGTACTGGTGCCATTGGAGCTTAGAAGCATTGCATGTATTTTATATGAAGAAATGTAGTTTTTGTAAAACTGCTACAAAATCGTAAAAACAAATATTTTATTGACCGAATAAAAATATTTCTCTTCAGAAATCACTAACAAAAAAAATATTATACATATTTACGTTTAAAATTAAATTTTTTTTATAGCCGTTAATATTATCTTTTTATACAAAATATTTTGTTATTTTATGTGTTCGTAGCCGCACAACGCAGGAAAAGCCCAACGGATTAGCTAAATTAATTTTTTAATATCCATCTTAATTTTATTTTGTGGAGATTTCTGAAGGAAAGTACTCGTATTCGATCAAAATAAATTTATTTTTTCACCGATTTTATTTCTTTTTTCCATTTTCTTTAATTCAGGGGGTGGCTGGGGAAACCACTTTGGACAACCCTAATATTCATTTATATGTGTGTATACATATGAGTTTTTTTTTTAACACTAAATGACCAGCAGTTGACCAACAATTAATAAAGAGATATCGCTTTTGCTCCTTTGTCTGGCTTTATGACCTCTCCATGCTTTTTCGATGAGCATGTAGCGGATTAATTGATTGTTAAGATTTTTATGAATTTTAAAAGAGTCAAGTTGTACTTGCATACAGTACTTGTATAAAAGGCATAAAACATTTACGATTACAGAAACATTTGACAAATGAGCAAAAACTGAACTGTTTTCTGTTTTGAAAATAAACACAATCGACGAAGTCTTCTTTGTATTTATCGCGCTTGGAAAAGCGTGGGCATATATAGTTTCTCGTACACACTTTCCTCAACAATCCTAGTAACTCGCTAAGATCTAAAATGCTTTAGAATTGTTATGTTTAAAACCAAGCAAATTCAGTAAATTCACGTTTTTGTTGGCTAAGTGAAGGAATCCTACTTCCTCTTTAAATTTACCTTAGTCTATTTTAATATAGTTCATTCTAAAACTTTGTTCAAAATTCAGGAAAATTCAATAAATTTGCATACTAATTTGCAACTTTCTATTCAGATTTTCTAGAAAAATTCTAGGTCTGCAGTTTCATAGCCCTTTCAATTTTAGTATAAGAAAGTGCAAGCTTGAAGTTGCTAGAAAATAGCATTGATTTTTGGAAGTTGTTGCTCATTTTCTTCATAAACAAGTAAGAAAGTCTAAGTTCGGGCGGAGCCGAACATTAAATACCCGGCGCAAGTATTAAATATATGTTTTCC